TGACGCGCCAGGCGCACAAAAACCCCCCGATCGCGAGCGCCCCCGCCACCGCGGCGTCATCAACGGAAAAGCGAGGGTCGTCGTCGTCGTCGTCGTCGTAGTCGTCCGGGGCGGCGAAGGACCCCGCGGGGCCCGCCAGATCGGACGGCCGCAGCCGCAGCAGCGGCAGCCCGGGCGCCGCCGGGCTCCCCCCTTCCCCCCCAGAACTCAAAGGCGGGGGAGGCAGGGGCCCCTCGGCCTCCGAAGCCGCGAAGTCGAAGGACGGGCAGGACAGCCGCCGGGGGTGGAAGAGCCCGGCGCGCCCGTCGCCCGGCTCCAGCGGCAGCGACGACGACCCGCTCATCGACAACGGCCCCTCCACGCGGAAGGACAGCGCGGGCGAGCCCGGCCTCGCCGCCGCCTTCCCGCGGCTTCGGTCGTCCTCGCCGTCGGCGAAGTCGACGTCGCTCAGCTCGGGATGGCCCTCGGAGGACGCGGCGGGGAGGGAGGGGCGGGCCGCGTAGGCCGGCGCGCGATCGCGCTTGCCGAAGATCAGCGCCCGCACGACCACCCGCACTTTCCCCCACCACCGCGACGACGCCGGCGAGGCCGGGCGGGGCGGGAACTCCCCGGGCTCGGCGCTCGCGGCCCGGGAAGAAGGGGGGATCGCGGCCTTCGACAACACCCCGGGAGCCTCCGCGGGGGCGGACGAAGCCGAGGAAGACGAGGAAGACGAGGAGGAAGACGAGGAAGACGAGGACGAGGACCGCGCGTCGGCCGGGGAGCCGCCCTCACGCGGCCGTCGCCCGCGCCGCGCGAGAGCCGCGTTCGCGCGGAGCATCCCATTCACGGCGTTCGCCACGACGTTCTGCGCGATGCTCAAGTGCCGCCCCTCGAGCGCCAGCACGAACAAATCCTGCAGGGTACTCGCGGCGATCTCGCGCAGCCCGCCCAGGGCGGCGGCGCCGCCGCCCTCCTCCGCCTTCAGCCGCCGCCGGTGGTGGCAGGTGACCTGCCAGACGGCCAGAAAAAGCCTCGGCAGGTGGTCGCCGAGGGTGACTCGGTAGTGCCGGTGCCGCCACGCCACGAGGTGGCGAATCGCGATGAGCCCGGTCAGCAACTCCGCCGTGGTGGAGCCGTGGTGAAGATAGTTCAGGGCGATCCAGAGCAGCTTGTTCGCGAGGTTGACGTAGTCGCTGACGTTGGCCCCGATGGCGTGGAGGGCGCCCCACGCCTCCATCGCCAGCGTCGCGATGCGGAGCTGGGAGGAGGGCAGGCAGGCCCGGATGTGGTTAAAGGCCACCACCAGCCGATCGCAG